CGAAGGTTAATCCGGAACGGATTAACCTCGCTATACGAGGCACCACTGTAATTGGTTTTTCACAATCTTGAGCCTATCGAAGCAAGTCCTACAACATCTGCTTGGAATTATTCTCCTGAATAAGTGTGGATCTCGGGGTGCTATAAGAAGATACGAGCGGATCTCAGCTTTTTTTTGTGAGGGACCCACCTGGATTCTCGCTGCTAACTGGGCTGTCTGATCCCTTGTTCTCTTCCGCGTGCCCGCTCCGGCTCAGGTTGGGATCTTGCGGCTCCTTCCCTGCCGTCGCAAAAGCCTCGTCGTCATGGTATTCGGCAATCTGGAACATTGTCAGGGGGCTGACATGGCCCCCCACCCACCCTGTAACCTGCCACTCTCCAGGGATCTTGGGGGGGGGAATCCGGGTTCTGGGTTCGGCTGCGGAGGAGAAGGAAGAATGAAAATCAAAACAGGGCATTCTCTCAAACGGGAGTTAGTCCGTGACTAAGTCACGATTTAGTCAGGCATGAACCAGGAAGTTTACGATTCAAATTTCGCTCGCCTCTGCAAGACGTGTCAAGGCAAGCTGTTCTCTTTTTTAAGCTCTTCTGCAAATATGGAAGTAAGAGCCGAGTGTTCTGAGTCACAAGCTCAGAACAGAATTCTTGAGATATTCGTACGCCTGGGTCAGTTCGGGGGGAATCTCTGCAGAGAAACCATCTTGCCCCAAGCTCTGGATAAGTCTCGCATCTCTACGACACCCACAGATCTTGCTGTGGTTCCATTGTAAGGGGTGCTCAGGTACACTGCTTCCAAACATGGAGGCTCCACGCAGCTCCTCACGTGGCACATGGCTTTCCTTCGCCCCAGTCCTCCCCCCAAATGCTGCCTTGTGGCTGATGAGTGGCGCAAGTTAAATTACAGCTCTTCCTGTCCTTCATCAACTGCCAACACCAGGGCTTGAGAAAGGAAGGGCTGGGTGGGAAATGATGGTTTTCCCAACTGCAGTCCCCAGCTCCTCCCCCTCCAGCCAGCATGAGATTCCAGGATCATCACCTCAAATAAAATAATTGTATTTGCCAATACATATTGCAAACCTCTTGGGTTATCCCCATGTTCTTCATCATCACTCTTATCCCCCATGGCTTTCCATCAGCCTCCCAACCCTGAGCCCCCCCCCCATAGCTCTGTTCCTCCCTCCCCCCCTTTTGCCCTATATATACCAATGCTTCCCTCCTGGTTCCTCGCCACTATCTCATGCTTTCCCCCCCTCTTCCTCCAGCTAGATCCCCCACCAGATCCCCAATGGTGGATCCCCCCCTCCTCCTCTTCATATCTCAGAATATGGATCTTGCTCAAAGACCCCCCTTCCCTCCCATTTACCAAAATTAGGATCTCCCTCCGTCGGATCCCTGTTTACAGCCTGCACAAGTCCCAGCCACAGTCGCCCGGGCAATGGAGGACTGCCACCGCCCGCGCCCAATCACCTTGCGCCACGTCACGGGGCGGGGTGTGAGAGACAGAGCCCCGCCCCCTGTCGACCTGAACTCCTCCTCTCTTATTTGTTTATTGTTAATTTGGTTCTCTTTTCTTTTTCCCACGTTGAATGAAACCCGGGAAAAGAATGCAGCGCTCTCTAAAACACCTCTGCAACTATATTTATTTTAAATATTTTTAATTCTTTCTTGATCGTTATGTTAATTCCTCCTGATTGCTTTTAAAAGTCATGCAATCACTCGTTTCCTTTTTAAAAAGAGAATTTTACATATTCTGCTTGTAAACCCTCCCATGTTTTTCTCCGCAGCTGTTCTGCCTCTTTTTTTTTTAAATTTCCACCCCCAAAAAAATCCCTGCAAACTGCTCCGTGTCTTCTGATTGGTTGCATGTGAAGACCTCTGCCTGGAAACACGGGAGGTAGGGAGTAAAATTAAGCAAGCGGTGCAGATTCATAACTGGGGAGGGGGAATCCCAAAGGGACAGTCAGGTGTAGTTCTTTCATGAGAAGCATCCAGACATAGCACAGAATTGGGGGCCAGCGTTAGAGATCTGCAGATCTCTGCATCAAGCAGGATATTAATCATCACGTTGGCTGAGATGATGGGTTTTTTTAGCCAAATGCAGCTGGAAAGCGTGTAGGAATGCTGAAACAAGTACAGTACAAGATCACCACTTCTTTCCTGTTGGAAAATTGACATTTGTCTCCTTACATTTGACCCAGGTTCAGAGTTTTTATATGTGTGTATATACGTGGTGGCGCTGGGGGTTAAACCGCAGAAGCCTCTGGGCTGCAAGGTCGGAAGACCAGCCGTCCTGAGATCGAATCCATGCGACGGAGGGAGCGCCCATCGCTTGTCCCAGCTCCTGCCAACCTAGCCGTTCGAAAGCATGCAAATGCGAGTAGATAAATAGGTAACACCTCGGTGGGAAGGTCACGGCGTTCCATGTCTAGTCGCGCTGGCCACGTGGCCACGGAATCTGTCTTCAGACAAACGCTGGCTCTATGACTTGGAGACAGGGATGAGCACTGTGCCCTAGAGTCGGACACGACTGGACTAAATGGCAAGGGGAGCCTTTACCTATGTATTAGCCGGCTGCATAGCTCAGTGGTTTAGGTACAGTATATGGTTGCAAAGCCAAAAAAGTTGGGAGTTTGATTCCCCTCCATGGTGCCTCTTGGGAGAAGAGCCAGCCTGGGTGGCCTTGGGCAAGCTGCACAGTCCCACAGCACCCCTAGAGGAAGGAAAGGGTAAAGCACTCTGTACTTTTAGCTGGAAAACCCTAGAAGGGGTTACCATGAGTTGAAATTTACTTAATGGCACAAACACCCACACACATAGGTATTAGTTGTCTGCTATTGAATATATAACTCTGGTTCTATTTTAACTGTTCATTGTTTTATTGCATGAAGGGGTTACCATGAGTTGAAATTTACTTGATGGCACAAACACACACACACATATATATATATTAGTTGTCTGCTAATGAATATATAACTCCGGTTCTATTTTAACTGTTCATTGTTTTATCGCATTTTTTCATTGGACGTATTAAGCCATCTTGAGCATTATTTCAAAGTAGAAAAATAAAATACAGTATCACAAGGTCTTGACACAGTTCCAGATGCTGGTTTGGAGGTCAAAATACAACCAGTACAGTATATCAAAGTTTTAATAATGCTTTAGCTAACCATGTTAAGCCAGCAGATGATAAATAAATGACCCATTTGTATTGTGTGCTGTGTCAATAAATAACAACAACAAACCCACAACAAATCCACCCCACAGAAACACACACAGGCAGAAATACTCTTAAAATATATTACACTATATGAAACTGACCACGTAATATGTAGATTTCAAGCTGTGACTTTCTCACAAGTTGAAGGGAGGGTAAGACCCAATTAAATCCATTCATTTGGATTTTACAAGTCCAATTCATATCAACGGATCAACTCCATTTGGGAATAACATTTGAATTCCACCTAATAGTTTTAAGCGATTGTAACCAGATTTGTTTTTGTGACTTTGATTGACGAAACCCACTTTGAATATGGACAGAAAAACAGCACCTGCTTTAAAGAGGAAGAAATAAAATACAAATGCTGTGCATCAGATTGGAAAGACTTGGGTTCCAATCACCTGTCACTCATGTAGCTGACTCGATCCAGTCATTTTTCCAACCTAATTTACCAGGCAGGATTATCATAACTTTATATTATGTCAGGAACCTTTTCCTTCGTTAAAGAAAAGTGCCCTATACATGGGATAGATAGAGAGTGATATACTGTACAAATGTGTTTCTTACTCTACTATTTAATATACGGTACTTTAAATGAATTTATTTAAACAGAGTACCAAAGATCAGTATTTGAATATCCACCTATGTATAATCACCTGCCATCCAAATTTTAAATATGCCTATTCAGAAGACCCTTGACATCTAGGGAGACTTTTTAGGTAAATAGTCTTAGCCTCAATTCATGTTAAAAAATACGAGAAGAATGTCAATTTTGCAAAAATATGTATTGAACTGTTTATTTTGGACCCATATATGCTGAGACTTTGTTAATGTCATAGGAAAGTAGCTCTGCATACTTTCATGTTTTTTTCATTACAGAACTAAAGTTGTCGCTTTAAAACTGAGAGAGATGCTTATTGCTTTGTTTGGATGTGCATATTTACCAAGATTGTGATGCCACTGAGAAAATTCTCTGTGTTTGTGTAGAGTGTTGTGTATGTGTGTTTTGCTTTTGTGTTTGTTGACACATTTACCTGGTTTACTACAATGCAAGATGACTTTAGTTTTGAACATGATGAAAGTTATTAGCAAATTATAATAACCCTAACAGGGAAATTTTAAAAATCGTATATTAAGAATTCAGGTGTCTGAAATACGTTGCCAAGAGACTATTACTAGAACATGGAGATTTGAATAAGAATTCCTATAGATCCGCCTCGAGTTCTGCATTGGGAGAAAGGCGGAATATGAGAAAATAAAAGTAAATCCAGGCCGAAATGTTCAGGGTTACCACATTTCGGGCGGAAGGGAGCTTCATAGGAAGGGAGTTCAAATAACATGTAGAGATATTGTGAACTACTGCGCAGGGAATACTTCCTGAAAGTGTGCAGCAAACTGTAAAGGTGCTTATACTACGTTATATAACGCATACGTTAATATATTTTGCGTTACTAGGAGGCTGAAGGGAGCGTCATCTGCCCACACTTAAGATGGCGGCCGGAAATGGCGGCGGCACTCTAGCCCTACAACTCTCCGCAGCCTGTGCGATTCACGACCGCTACTTAGGCCCTTTCCGCAACGAGGCGCCGCGGCTCCTGATGGAAGCGCCGCTCGCGTCACGCCAAGCCGGTAAAAAGGGAGGGGGGCGGGCCTTACGGAGTTTGCGCAGCCCGAAGCAAGCCGGGGGAAGTCAGGCAGCGGAGGGTTGCCTTAGGCCGCCCGGCGACCGTGTCTTCCTTCTCCTCCCCCCCCAATAATTTGGGGGAGGCGGAAGCAGGAGGGCTGGGTTGGGGGCAGGCAGACCTGAGGAACCCAGGCGTCCGAGGATGTGGTGGGGGAAGCCGGGACCTTAGCTTGAGAGAAGGCGGGGGGGGGAAGAGAGAGAGGGGGGGTTAGAGGACACGAAAGGACCCAGGCGTCCGAGGGGAGAGGGAGACACCCCCCCACCAGAAAGCCGGAGAAGCAAGGGTTAAAGGACACCCCCCCCCATACACACACACACTTTTTCAGAAATTAAAACTGGACCAAGGTCATCCGGTGGCCTAGAACCTGCGGAAAAGCAGGGAGGATGGAGGGCTGAGGGACCCAGGTGTCCAAGCTTCTGGGGGGGAGGGAGGAATCAAAAGCCTAGAAAGGGGAGAATAAGAGGGAGCAGGTGTCCCAGGAGCTGGAAGCAGTGGGTCAGAGGACTGCAGCTGGAAGGGGTTTGGGAGGATCAGGATAGGGCCCCCAGCTGACCCAGATCCTGGCTGGTCTAGGGAGGAGTCCTTGGTTGGGGAGAACAGCATCCAGATTTGGGGTCTGCACCCTCCTAGGAGGGTCCCCTGCACCCCACTTCAAGGACCAGGGCTGGATCTTGACCCCCATGTCGTCTTAGCAGAGGCGGTTCTGGTGGGTGGGCATCATCCACCGTCCGTTATTCCTCCTCCCATGGATCTGGCCAACCTCCCCTGAGCCCTCTTGCTTCAGGGGTCCCGGGTCCCGCTGGTCGGAAAGGATGGGCACCACCCTCTGGGTGGAGGGCAGCTCCGCCGTCTTAGGAAGGGGGTCGTCGAATCCACGGTGGTGATGGTGGTTGCCCCCCTCCCTCCCCTTGACGTCTCCAGCCTGGAAATGATGCCCTCCTGAATGGGACCGGACGCCCCTCCGTCGCCCGCCCTCGAGATGGAGAAGGCCGCCGGCAACCTCAGCGCCATCGTGCCCGCCTCGCGCCTTACGCCGGCTTTCCCGCCCGCCGTCAAGGTCGGACTCACGGCGCTCTACACCACCCTCTACGCCTTACTTTTCCTCTCGGTCTATGCCCAGCTTTGGCTGGTGCTCTTCTACCGCCACAAGAAGCTGAGTTACCAGACCGTCTTCCTCTTCCTCTGCCTGATCTGGGCCGCCCTGCGGACCACCCTTTTCTCCTTCTACTTCAGGAATACCCTCAAGGCCAACCACTTGAGCCCTTTCTTCTTTTGGCTCCTCTACTGCTGCCCCGTCTGCCTCCAGTTCTTCACCTTGACCCTCATGAACCTCTACTTTGCCCAGGTAAATATTCAAAAGGGGTCTGTAGTTGCCCAGATGAACTGTGGCTTCAGATGCTAAGTTGGTAAACATGGGGAGACCACTTCTTTAGTGCTGGTTTTGTGGGCAGGTGTACTGGAAAGGGTCTTGTTATAGGTGGTGGTTTCTGGTTAGCTTTTTTTGGCCTAAATCCTTATGCATTTGGGTTTATCGTTTATTTATTCATTCATTTATTTATTCTATTTATATCCTGCTTATCTGGTCAATATCATCATATATAGCTGTGGTCCCCAACCTTGGGCCTCCAGATGTTCTTGGACTACAACTCCCAGAAGCCTTCACCATCACCTCTGCTGGCTGGGATTTCTGGGAGTTGAAGTCCAAGAACATCTGGAAGCCCAAGGTGGGGGACCACTGATATATAGTACTGTTATGTCAATTCTGATGTAGTGTGACCCTTTTTCAGAGTTTTCCAGGCAGAGAGTACCCAGAATGGGTTACCCTTTGCTGTTTTTGGGGGGTACCCTGGGTCTGTGCAGCTTGCCCAAGGCCACCCTGGCTGGCTCTACTCATAGGAGGCACAGTGAGGAATTGAACACCCAACGTCCGGCTCTGCTGCCCCATCCCTAAACCACTAAGATAGCCTGTTATTTTGAATTATATCATGAAGTTTTTTCCTTGCGCCCTGTGGAATGGACGTACCGTTTCTCGCTTCTGTTTGTAGGCTCTAGAAGCTGCTATTTGTGTATGGAATAAAATGAGATAATAACGAGACAAAACTTTTTACTGTATTAATACACATATTCTCGCTTCTGTTTGTAGGCTCTAGAAGCTGCTATTTGTGTATGGAATAAAAAATAACGAGACAAAACTTTTTACTGTACTAATACACATAAAATTGTAATTACTGAGCAGGAAGAAAAAAAATTCTACATCCTAAAAAATGTTGCCGCTACGTATTCATCACCCTTTGCTTGTTAAAAGAGTGGTTTACAAAAAAAAACAAGGAATTTAATAAGTTACAGAAGAAATATACAACATTGGAAGCCGACAGCCACACAAAACTGTAGTGTGAAGAACTCAAAACCAGTTTGGTTTAGTATGTAATCCTGAATCCTTTTCCCTAGAATTAAATCCTACTGAACTTGGTATGGGTTAAGCTAAAGTAATCATGCATAGGATTGTACCAGTAGACATGCTTTCTATCTATCTGTCTGTCTGTCTGTCTGTCTGTCTGTCTGTCTGTCTGTCTGTCTGTCTGTCTGTTTGTCTATCTATCTATCATTTATTCATTTATTCATTTATTCATTTCCCGCCTATCTGGTCAAACAGCCACTCTAGGTGGCTACCAACATATAAAACATTTATAAAATATAACAAATGAAAGACATTGGGGAGGGAATCGAGGGTAATTTCCCAGGGAACGCACTTCAAAACTTTAGTGCCATCATAGAGAAGACTCTGTTTCTTTTCTGGCTGCTGGAAATGGTAGCACAGGGTCCTGGTTATTGGGAGCAGATCTTTAAAGTCTAGGAATTTTGACATGAGAGCAAACTTATTGTTGACTTGCAGAAATGCATCTTAATCTTTATTGCTTTTCTGGTCCTGAGTGCTGAATCAGGAGTCCCTCCTCCATTTCTGTCTCATCTTGGTTAATATGATCAACATAAATGGCTTTGTCTGCCCTCTCTGCCTGCAATATTGGGATGAAAAACCTCCCAGCTTATTGTGAAGAGCTGCTGTTAGAATCGCTGAAATGTGTATGTCAAGTCCTTTCAATGCTCTAAACATATTTAAATGCCAAGAAATGGTGTTATTGCCATTTTACAGGTGGGACAGTTGAGTCTGGGAGAAGAAAGTCACCATCATAATATGGCATAACTTGTTGTGTTTGTCGTGGCTTGACCCATAAACGGTACAGCTAAGGATTAAGCAAACGGTGGCTTGTCTCTTCTACCTTTTCAGTTGCCTTCACTTCTTGGGTGGGGAGCTGGGGCAGAAAGCCATGGTGGTGCATTTGGACATGACTATAAGCCTTGTTAGTAGCAGAGGGTTTGCACATCACTGTAAGCCACACACATTGTGACTTTTGAATACAGCGAATACCTTTTTTCTGTGTATAAGACGCCCCCATGTATAAGATGCCGCTCACTTTTCTAATCCAAAATTAAGAAATCTAAGTGGGGCTTAGCGAGTGTAGGGGAAAAGGGATCAAAGCACTGCAGGATCGCTTTGATCCCTGCTTTCCCCTCCACTTGTTTTTGTTCTCTTCTCAGCTTACTTCCGTGTATAAGACGATCCCCAATTTTTAGTCTAAAGATTTTAGACAAAAATATAGTCTTATACACAGAAAAATACAGTAAGTCTGTAGAGTGCACAGCTTTGTCCCATATCCAAAACCTGGAAAACCAACAAATTTCTTGTAGAAAAAAGGGGGAAAAATGAGCAAAGCCACTTGAAGAAAATCAGAGATCGTCTTCATGAGGCTTTAGTCTTTCCACCCCTGCACCCAAATTTCTTGGCATTTGTCCTGTACACACAAAGATAGTGTGGGATGTCTCTCAGCTGACTGTTTGTCTCACAGTAGCGTTCCAAAGGTCTCTGTTGGCTACTGATTGACTTTGATGCAATGAGAGATTTGGCGGAGGCCATGCATTTTTGAACTGCGGTGGGCTCAGAGCTTGGAGAAGCCACTTGCGTCACTAGAGATCTGAGAATCCTCCAGCTAGGATAAACATCGGCCACCCTGGCTGGTGGGTTCCAGGTAGGCAGGAGCACAACCAGCACTTTATGAATAAGTGGCAGTTTGCCTCCCCCCAAGGCTTATGTGATTTCCCTTGAGCAAGTGTAAATAAGCTGGCTGGATAGTTCAGTGGGTTACGCAACTGACTGTAGAGGCAGAGGTTGGGAGTTTGATTCCCCACTGTGCCTTCTGCGAGTAGAGGCAGCCTATGTAGCCATGGGCAAGCTGCCTAGAAGAAGGTTATGGTCAACTACTTCTGAGTACAGTGGTACCTCGCTAGATGATGACCCTGCTGTATGACGAATCCGCAGGACGGTGACTTTTTTGCGATCACTATAGCGATCGCAAAACAATGTTTCCAATGGGGGATTTTCGTTTGACGACAATTAGGCCTGTGCTTCGCGAACCGTTTGTTCGCAAGACGACGATGTTTTCCGACTCCGGAAAAATGGCTGCCCTCTGTTTTCTGGACCCATACTTCGCAGGGCAGCCATTTTAACAGCTGATCGGCGCTCGGAAAATGGCTTCCCCTATAAGTGATCTTCGCTGGACGACGAGGTAATTTCCCCACTGGAACACATTAAATGGGTTTCGATGCATTCCAATGGGGAAACTGTTTTCGCTGGACGATGTTTTTGCTTAACAGCGATTTCAGGGGAACAGATTATCGTTGTGGTGCAGGAAACCGCTGCTCTAAGGGAACAGAGCCCACCCAAAACACGACAACATGTACCCTCTTTCCCTGAAAAAAAGCCCTAGTAAGATTTTTCAGGATGCTCGTCATATAAGCCCTACCCCAAAAATAAGCCCTAGTTAAGCGAAACCCCGCCCTCCACCCTTGTGCAGCAACCAGAAGATGACATGACTGTAAAATAAAACATCCCTTGAAAATAAGCCCTAATGTGTGTGGGGGGGGGGGTTGAGCAAAAATTAATACAAGACCCTGTCTTATTTTCGGGGAAACACGGTACTGAGCATGCTTAGTAGCTGTGGATGGAGAAATAGCAAAATAGTGGAAAGCCTTACTTAGAGATGATATTTGCCAGAAAGCTGCACGCAGGCGTTCCTCATAGAGGAGGTGTCAGTGAGTTGGAACACTTTTCATGCAGATTCTCTTTGTCTTTTGCATTCTGATCTCTCTTTCTCTCCTTTCCAATCCAGGTGGTTTTCAAGGCTAAAGCGAAATATCGCCCTGAACTGACCAAAGGCCTGTGAGTATCTCTCTTTGCATGTCCTGTGTAGCATCGTGAGGTTGACCTACAGCCTTTCCTAATCTGTCAGTGTGGCTGATGGAGCTGTTAGATGGGAGTGGGCATCTAAAACATGTGAAAGGTGCCTGGTTTGAGAAGACAGATCTATAGAAATGTGCCTTTCAAGTTTTTAGGGTTTTTTTTCCACAATCAGAATTCTGGGAGTTAATTAATACAAGACCCTGCCTTCAGATACAGTGGTGCCCTGCTAGACGATGATAATCCATTCCACTGAAATCACGGTTTAGCGAAATCATTGTCTAGCAAAAAGCATTTCCCCATTGGAATGCATTGAAAACTGTTTAATGTGTTCCAATGGGGAACAATCATCGTTGTCTAGCAAAGATCGGCCATAGGAAAGCCGCTTTGCGAAATGCCAATCCGCTGTTTAAATCACTGCCTTGCGAAGCTTGGGTCCCAAAAAACACACCTATTTTGTGAGTGTGGAGGGAGCTGTCAAAATCGTTGTCTAGCGAAAATCGGTTTGCGAAGCAGGGACCAAACATTGTGCAGCAAAATTCCCCCATAGGAATCACTGTTTTGCGAATCGCTACAGCGATTGCAAAAAGTCAATGTCTAGCGAAAAAACTGTCATGCGGGGTTACTGTCTAGCGAGGCACCACTGTACCTTCATTTCGCTCACCTGGAGAAAAGCCGAGGCTTTCTTCTAGGCCTTCTTTTTGCTGCAGTGCCTCCTAAGAGGAAGCTGCTGCAGTGTTGTCTGGGAGTCGGTAGTCCCCTTGCCATTGATGCTCTGTAGCAGGTGCTTCCTGAAGAACCACCACTCCCAGGATGCATTGCATCAGTAAAGAAGGCCTGGAAGGTGAGCCTCAGCCTTTCTCCAGGTGAGTGAAATAAAGATGTTGGCAGATGGGTGTTTATGGGCTGGAACTCCCAGAATTCTGCCTGGGGAATTCTCAGAGAATTCTGGGATTTGAAGTTCCAAAACAAAAAAACGAGAATGGCATATCCCACTGGTTCTTAACCTTGGGTTACTCAGGAGTTTTGGACTGCAACTCCCAGAAGCCTTCACCACCAGCTGTGCTGACTGGGGTTTCTGGGAGTTGCAGTTCAAAAGCATCTGAGTAACAAAGGTTAAGAACCACTGGCATATCCCTGCTATTCTTCATCCATTGGCAAAGAACTGGTAAGGGTGAGTGAACTTTATTTTAAAAACCTGTATCCTTTCTACTGGTTATCCAGGTAAATCTCAGCGTGACTCTCAATGTATGACCTATAAAATAATTGATGAATGCAGATGGTGGAAAAATCACAATGGAATAAAGTAACCTTACAGCGGTCACCAATGCTTAGCAGTTTCCTGTACAATAGGAGCGGTTATGTCAAAATTAAAAGGCAAAGCTATTTTTAAAAATGTTCTTAAAAAAAAATAACAGCCCAAATTTGAAAATTTAAAAGAGAGGAAGCCAGGGATCTAACGAACCTCCCCTGGGAGGTTCTGTAGAGGCAGCCTGGTTGCTAACTAAGTCACTCTCCAGCTACATTTACTAAGAACATGCAGAGACTGGGGCTTCAAACAGGTCGTGCATGGGACGAACATCACGTGACCGTCCAGATTTTGTAGACTCCAGTTCCCATCATTCCTCACTATTGGATATGCTGCATAAGGCTAATGGGAGTCCCAGTCCAGTAACATTATGAGGACTGCTAGCTCCCGACTCCTGAATTACGAGAAGGATTTGACCTCTGGATCACAGCCTAGACATGCTCTCTTTCCTGTGCCCAACGCAGGTGGTGACTGCCACTTGCTCCTGCTAGTAGTCCATGGTGGACTGCTGTCCTTGCGATGACTGCAAAGCAAAACCTCCGGCTTTGGGAGCACCTCTTGAATACAGTGGTGCCTCGCTTGATGATGCTAATTCGTTCCAGCGAAATCGCTGTAGAGCGAAAACATCGTCAAACAAAACGAAAAAATCCCATTGAAACGCATTGAAAACCCGTTCAATGCGTTCCAATGGGCTTAAAACTCACAGTCCAGCGAAGATCCTCCATAGGGGCGGCCATTTTCGGTGCCTGTAAAGCGAGGAATCCGTCCTAGAAAACAGCGGGGGGGCCCGTTTTGTACACCCGGCGGCCATTTTGGAACTCGATGATCAGCTGTTTTTAGATCGTCGTAATGCGAAAATCGGTTCCTGAGGCAGGGAACCGATCATCGCGAAGTGGATTTTTCCCATTTAAACCATCGTTTTGCAATCACTTTTGCAATCGCAAAAACCTAATCGTCAAGCGACTTCCTCGTTAAGCGAAGCAATCGTGAAGCAAGGCACCACTGTATTGGTCTCTGGGCCCAGAGAACCCAGGAGAAGTGCTGTCGGTGTTATGTATTACTTACATGCTTGCTGGCAGCCCGTGGCCAAAGCTTTGGAGAATGATTTTGAACCAGATTCAATTTCTTTAAAAAATCTTTTCCCAGGTTGGTGGTGCGAGGGGCGTGTCTGGGTGCCAGCCTCCTCTTTCTGGCCGTGAACGTGGCGTGTGCCGTGCTGGTGCGGGCACGCCGTGCCGAGCCCTGGGCGGTGGTCCTGGCCCGGGTGCTCATCAGCGACTCGCTCTTCGTGCTTGGGGCCGTCACCCTCGCCCTGTGTCTCTGCCTGGTGGCCCGTGGCTCTCCGTCCACGCGCATCTATTTGGAAGCAAAGGTGGAGTTGCAGTCTGCTGGTAACTGGGAAATGGAGAGGGGGAGTCATCATCATCATCCTGCTGTTCTAGTAAAAGTGCTAGGAAGCATATAGGTGGAGTTGCTGGCTCCAGGAATGTGAAGATATTTGCCAGTTTTGTGTCTGTTGTCAAGCCAGGTTGTTTTGACAGCGCAAGGCCACCCGATAAGAAGTCTCAATCCCATGCAAAAGGTTCCTGCCTCCAGCGTGAGATTGAGACGCCAGGATTTTCCTGTCATGGTTCTCACAGTTTGCACAAAATGGCTTGGTGTCTTTTCTCCTTCTAAATCTAATTGCAGGCAGACGGAAGGTTGATTGCTCTCCAAGATGCAAGGAACCCATTCAAGGCTTCTGCTTTTAAACATCCATAAAATATCAAAGCAGGCGTTTTTGTTTTACGTTTTGCACAATTGTGCAAATTGAGTCGAAAAATAAAACCCCTTCCTCTCACTAGAAGATTGACATTTTTTTAAAAAAAAACACTGTCTTGTTTAGCTTGCAAAAAGAAGCCAGGTAATTGTTTACACCTTTGGTTTAGACCTGAGATTTAAGCGAATCGTTATTGCCTTTATACCTGTTGGGTTCCTTCTCTACTCAAAAGTATTTAGACTTCCCAAATTAGACTCAGATTCAACCAGGATTGGAAAAATTGTTTTTTATTTTAAAAAACCCAGCATCCTCTAGCCAACAAAACCACCAGTGCCAAAGTTTGTATTTTCTGGTAAAACAGTATTTCTGAGCTTCACATGTTTGCTGAGATGCCATAAGACGTGCTTTGGAGTTTACTGGAACAAACTTAAACGGTCTCCACCCGTGTAACTCCTTTCTGCCACAGGGCACCACGCTGTGCCAAACTGCTGCCATGGGTGGCGCCATCGTCTTGCTGTATGCCAGCCGAGCTTGCTACAACCTGGCGGCCTTGGCACTATCCTCTCGCACCCGCCTGGACTCCTTTGATTACGACTGGTACAACGTGTCTGATCAGGTGAGTTGGGCAGTCGTCTTAAATCCAGAAGGGGTTCAACCTCACACCCTTCCTTTTCCTCAGGCTAGCTTCCTGGTGGCCTCCAGAGATGTAGAAGCAGGATTTGGCCAAAGTTACTTTTTTTTTTTTTGGACAGTATTGCCGACTGTCTTCCAGCAGCAGCGCCTCTAGCTTCCAGTACAGTGGTGCCTCGCTTAGCGATTGCTCCGTTTAGCGACGAAATCACTTAGCGACGCTGTTTTTGCGATCGCAGAAGTGATCGCTTTGCGATGTTCTCTATGGGGTATTTTCGCTTTGCACAAAGCCCCCATTTTTGCACAGCTGATCGGCGGTTTCAAAATGGCCGCCGGGGAAAAAACATGGCCGCCCACTGTGTTTAGGGACGGATTCCTTACTTTAGAGGTACCGAAAATGGTGGCGCTATGGAGGATCTTCGCTCAACGGTGAGTTTTAAGCCCATAGAAACGCATTGAAGGGGTTTCAGTGCATTTCTATGGGCTTTTTAATATCGCATAGCGACATTTTCGTTTTGCAGCGATTTTTGCGGAACGAATTAATGTCGCCAAGCGAGGCACCACTGTAGTTTGAAAACTCTTGAGTTCTTTATTTTTTAAAAAACCTTCCTACCATCTCTGATCCTTTTCTAATTGCATCTCTCCGACTCAGTGTTCCTCAGCTGTGAAATGGGCAGATTCGCTTTCTGTTCAAGTCTTGGTAGCACAGCTTTTGCTTCTTGTTTAAAGTTCCCTGTTCTGCAATTACTCGTATGGATTTGCGACTCTGTATGCTAAGAGTTCGTGGCTGGGGTTCACAGTACGTGACGGGCTTTTTCCACCTCTCTTGTTACTTTATTTGTAGCTGTCTCTAAGTTTTCAGGAAGAAGTAGAAATTCACCCCAGACCTAAAAATCTGTCCTAAGAAACAGGTACCCTGATTCCCCGATAATAAGACCTAGCGAGAAAATAAACTCTGGTATGATTTTTCAGGATGCTCGTAATATAAGCCCTACCCCCAAAATAAGTCCCATTTAAGGGAAACCCCGTCTTCCATTGTGTAGCAACCAGAAGAAGGTGACGTGACTGCTTGTTTGAATAAATGTAGATGGTTGTACATGACAAAAATAAAACATCCCCTGAAAATAAGCGCCCTAATGCGATTTTTTGGAGCAGAAATTAATATAAGACCCTGACTTATTTTCGGGAAAACACGTAGTTTGTGCAGAGAAAGTTACGGTTCTTCGTGTACGTTGGACCCAAGGGTTTAGGGCCGGGGTGGGCAACTAGTGGCCTTCAAGATCTGGTTGGATCACAAGTCCCAGCATTCCTCGCCTTCAGCTATCCTGGCTAGGGCAGATGGAGAGTTGCATTCCCACAACCGCAAGGCTGTACCGCAGTGGTCAGGGAACAGGTAAATTACCCCAAATGGGGTAAAAATGAAAATCCCGGGGGTTATGAGGATGAACAGAGCCCCAATATTTATGCTTTCATATCCAAGATGAAGCAACATCATTTCTCCAAAATCTGAAGTTTTCAAGTAAGTTGAAGCTTTCAAAATAATTTTGAATAGATTCAATAAGATTTTGAATTCAAATAATGTCTGATTTCCTTCCTTTCAAATCAAGGGGGTAATGTCGACATATATAAATGGGGGGGGGGTTAAAAGGTAAAAAAGTTCCCTGATCCCTGCTGTACCGTTTTTCCCCATCCCTGATTTGTCATCTGAAAAGATTTAAAAACTTTCATTTAACCGCCTGCATCCTGAACTGGTGGAATTTGTGGGTTGGGGGAGCAGGTGCATCTGCATCCTCTGATTTCTATGGGCTTAATTGGGTTGGGGATCCCGTTGACCTCTAGGGATATTTAATAATAAGTCCTTTCCCATTGGCTGTGCTAGCTGAGGCCTTGGGGACTTGTCGTCTGACGCCTCTGAAGAGGCAAAAGTCTCCTGCCACTAATCTCCTAGAACAGTGGTTCCCCATCTTGGGTGCCGAGATGTTCTTGGACTACAACTCCCAGGAGCCTCCTGCACTAGCTGTGCTGGCCAAGATTTTGGGGAGTTGTAGTTCCAAGAACACCTGGGAACCCAAGGTTGGGAACAATTGTACAGTTGTGCCCCGCTTAACGATTGCCTCGCTTAACGAGGAAATCGCTTTACCATGAGGTTTTTGCAATTGCGATTGCAAAACGATGGTCTAAATGGGGGAATTTCACTTAGTGATGATTGGTTCCCTGCTTTGGGAACCGAATTTCGCTTTGCGACAATCAAAAACAGCTGATCATCGGGTTTCAAAATGGCCGCCAGCTGAAGAAAATGACCCCCCACTGTGCTTAGGGACGGATTCCTCGCTGCACAGGCATGGAAAATGGCCGGCCCTATGGAGGATCTTGGCTGTACAGTGAGTTTTCAGCCCATTGGAACACATTAACCAGGTTTTAATGCGTTTCAATTGGCTTTTTTATTTCGTTTGACAATGTTTTCGCGCTACAGCGATTTTGCTGGAACGAATTAACATCGTCAAGCGAGGCACCACTGTACTACAATATTCATTCATCCACCCACCCATCCATCCATCCATTGATCCATCCATCCATTAATTCTGTTCCTATACTGCAGTATCTAGTGGCAAGCAACTGCCCTTGGCGGTTTCCAACAGTGAAAATAAAGCATAAAGAAAACAGCTATTCGCCACCCAGCCCATAAAATATTACAATATAAAGACATAAAAGGACTATAACACTCCTCTAGTAACCCAAGGCAGTGGCAGTGGATAAAAACACAAATTACAAAAGAGAATAAACATTCATGAAGCTAAGTAGCAAACCATTATAAAGGGAGGATATTCAGAAATACCCACCTGAAAAGCAATGCTTTAAAAAGTTTTCTGAATAAGGTGGGAAGAGGCCTGGCCAATGTTCATAAATAGAGCGTTCTGCAAGGAGGTGGCCACACCACGGAGAAGGCCTGGTTCTTGGTTGTAGATTTCCTGGCCTCCCTCAAGGTGGGCTTGCCCTGCCCAGCATCAGCGCCTGGGAGGCGCAAGTGCGAGAGGCGTTTTGCCAGATGGCGAGGTCCGAAACGGTCCAGGGCTTTATAAGTCAGCATTTAGGACCTTGAATTTGGCATAGAAGCAAACCAGCAGGGAAGCCAGGACTAGGGAAATTCCGCCTCTTGAATTTGGCACAGAAGCAAACCAGCAGGCAAGCCAGGACTAGGGAAATTCCGCCACTGTATTCCTTGAAAAGGCCATAGGCGAGGTTGCAGAACGTGAATTTATCCATATGGACATCTCATTATTGAACTGATCTCTTGATCTGATGCATCTCCCTACCTCACCCCACTTCCAGGCGGATCTGATTACTGATCTCGGCGATCAAGGCTATGTCGTCTTCGGCCTCATCCTGTTCGTCTGGGAATTGTTGCCCACGACGTTGTTGGTTGGCTTCTTCCGCGTGCACCGGCCGGTTCAGGATATGGTGAGTGTGGTGGGTGGGTGGGATGGGAGGGGCGAGTGGACCCCCAAAAATGTGGGGAGAGGTTCATGATATAGGAACATGTGAAAATGGGATATAGCTTTTGCGGCTTCTGAATTATACCTTCTGTGTCATTTCTCTTTTGAAAAGTCAAAGGCGCTAGTCCTCGTTGTGTGGAAAAACACAAGGAATCCTGGATGGAAATGCACAAAAAACACAGCTACCTTCATTGCAGTGTTTTCATGTGTGAAGGGTGGTGGCAGGATCAGGTCAAAGAGTCTGATGTCTGAACATCTCTCTAAGAGTCCTACAGAGATTCCAAAGAGTCTGATGTCTGAACATCTCTCTACAGAGATTCCATAGAGCTCCAGGGGAAAATCAGAAGCCTGGGTTCATTACAGCTGGCATTTATCCCAGTTAAGGGTTAATTCCAGGATGAAACCAGACAACCGTTTCCAATCCTATTAAAAAAAAATCATCTGAGTATCAAGGTGTAAGTCCTTTCACTGTTGCAATGATTCCAGCAAAAGTCAGCTTGCCAAATTCTACAAACTTTATTGTCTGTGTTGTTTCTGCATTCTATCAGCACAGAACAAATACTTCAAACTAGTACTGTAACGTCAAAGAGTATTGAAGACATCCTTACTACTGTGAGGAACACCATAGGCCCAAATGCTTTAACAAAAAAAGAAAAGAAAACTTAAGTTGTAGGTGAATACATAAATCAGAATTCAAAATACAGTAGAAATACAATTTAAGAGAAGAAAAGAACAACAGGAATGTTTTAAATACATTCTGAAAACACAATAACTTTTAGCCTAATAAGGCACATTCAAAAAGCAGAAAATTTTTGTTGTTGTTTAGTCATTAAGTCGTGTCTGACTCTTCGTGACCCCCATGGACCAGAGCACGCCAGGCCCTCCTGTCTTCCACTGCCTCCCGGAGTTGGGTCAAATTCATGACACTGTCCAACCATCCCATCCTCTGTCGCCCCCTTCTCCTCTTGCCTTCACACTTTCCCAACATCAGGGTCTTTTCCAGGGAGTCTTCTCTTCTCATGAGATGGCCAAAGGATTGGAGCCACGGCTTCAGGATCTGTCCTTCCAGTGAGCACTCGGGGTAATCGTCTAGCAGGGCCCCACTGTATTTTGACAAGGAGGGTTAGAATCCAGCGGCCCACACCACCCATAATTTCAAGAATATGCTGCTGCTGCTCTAACATCATAAAGATAGGAAGTTACAGGTCCTGCAAACTTTATTGCTGGTCAGACTCCACATGGCAACATTTTACCAATTATTTCAATACATTTTCAGTCCCCCCCCCGTGGGTTAACTGCTAGCTGGGAAAGAAATTCCTTTGTAAGGCAGTGTTATTGTGCATCATCCTTGCTCCCAAACTCACCTGGAACTAGCTCATTTTGCAATGGCGTGTAGTAAACTGATGTTCAAACCTCGTTTTTAAAAGCACGTTCACCTCCAGAGCTGCTTTTTCTACACCCTCCCTTAATTTGTTTAGCATTCAACACCTAGGGGCCAATACACCTCCAGGGGAAGAAGCTTAGATCTGTTGCACATGATCCATTGGGAGTGTCTTCGAGACGAGCCTCCTGTTTTTAAAAGGATCGCTTCTTTAAACTCACAGGAAAAGAGCTTCATCTTGCTAGCCTACAGAGGAAGGAAAGGATTGAACTGGTGGGAGGTGTAAAAGTTCCTAGTAATGGCTTTTCCCTCTCTCTAGAGCGCCAGCAGGGTGTTCAACCGTCAGCTTGGAGTCTCCCGTTCTTATTTCTTCGACCACCTGGGGCAGAGGGAGAGCGAAGGACTGACCAGCAGGTAACGTCCATTTATTCCTAAATCAATTACCTACCTAGGCATCAAAATAACCAGCCTTCTGAATCCAGGAAGAGAACCTCATAGCACAAGTCAAACCAAGGATCTCTCAGGCCGTTGGCCCCTTGTGGTCCACGACGGATGGGAAGCAGTTCTCCGAGATTTCGGGGAGGCCACTCCTGGCCCATCCTGCAAGCTGAAAGAGTCAGCTGGGGGCTTTCCCAGTTCCTGCCCTTCCCAGAGAGGCCTGGGCTAAAATCTGCAATTCTTGACTTAAAAAGGAAAACAAGGTTCTAGTCCTCATGTTGTTCGAGAAAGGATAGGTTCAAACAGATGTAGGATGCATCTTTATACCAAATCAGACCAAGGGTCCCTCTGGCTGGATGTTGGCTATAGGAGGGTTTGGCCCTCCAGATCCCTCGAGTGCCTCTTTGTGGTGTTAGATTACAAGGGTGGGACTCTGGTTCATGGGCAGGAGAGGTACCATTCTGTCTCTCACACATCAGGTTTAGCTGCCATGGTGCTGCACAGTGTGTGTTGCAAGGCTAATCCGATCCTTGTGGGCAGACTCGAGGGCATTGCACTTCTTTTTCTCCCCCTGCCAGGTCCCATCATCCCCAGAGGGTAAAGGGCCAGACTCATGCCTGATATTCCAAATTCCGAGCTGATTCTCTTGACTAGCATCCCTCTGCCCCCTTAAGTTTCCGCGCAACCGACGGCCTCAAGCACTTTTCTTTTGTCCTGGGAATTTTATCTCGAATGGGAACAGCTGTGGCTTTCCAGAGGGTTGGGACTACAGTTCCCATCCGGCTTTTGTCTGTGTGGTCAATTGGTGCGTGGTGATGGGAGATGTGATTCAGAAACAGCAGGGGGCACCTTTGGCTATAGGAGGGTTTGGCCCTCCAGATCCCTCCAGTGCCTCTTTGTGGTTTTGGATTACAAGGGTGGGACTCTGATTCTTGGGCAGGGGAGGTACTTTTCTGTCTCTCAAACATCAGGTTTAGCTGCCATGGTGCTGCACAGTGTGTGTTGCAAGGCTAATCCGATCCTTGTGGGCAGACTCGAGGGCATTGCACTTCTTTTTCTCCCCCTGCCAGGTCCCATCATCCCCAGAGGGTAAAGGGCCAGACTCATGCCTGATATTCCAAATTCCGAGCTGATTCTCTTGACTAGCATCCCTCTGCCCCCTTAAGTTTCCGCGCAACCGACGGCCTCAAGCACTTTTCTTTTGTCCTGGGAATTTTATCTCGAATGGGAACAGCTGTGGCTTTCCAGAGGGTTGGGACTACAGTTCCCATCCGGCTTTTGTCTGTGTGGTCAATTGGTGCGTGGTGATGGGAGATGTGATTCAGAAACAGCAGGGGGCACCTGTTTGTCATTCCGATTCTTAGTTAACCAGTTCAACGAAATACAGGGAACAGCCAAATTCAATCCTGGAATCCCAATAAATCTGGAATCTCAAAACGGTGGTCACTCTAGGGCAGGGGATGCCAACCTCTGGTCCCCAAATATCCGTGTACTGAAAATCCCAGAAGACTTTGCCTCCAGTTGTACTGGCCAGGATTTCTGGGAGTTGTAGTCCCAGAAGCATACAAGGACCCAAGCTTGGAGGGTAACAAGCTACGAACATCTGCCACATCACGGCAGGAGTGAATAGGAAGCGCCAGATTCGCTGGAGACAGGGCAAGTGAAGTGACCTCACTGAGGCTGATTCTCTTGACTAGCATCCCTCTGCCCCCTTAAGTTTCCGCACAACCGACGGCCTCAAGCACTTTCCTTTTGTCCTGGGAATTTTATCTCGATTGGGAACAGCCGTGGCTTTCCAGAGGGTTGGGACTACAGTTCCCATCCGGCATTTGTCTGTGTTGTCAAATGGTGCATGGTGATGGGAGATGTGATTCAGAAGCACCAGGGGCACCTGTTTGTCATTCTAATTTTTAGTTAACCAGTTCAACGAAATACAGGGAATAGCCGGATTCAATCCTGGAATCCCGATAAATCTGGAATCTCAAAACGGTTCTGGAATCTCAACCTCGGGTCCCCAAATGTCCGTGTACCAAAACTCCCAAAAGAATTTGCCTCCAGTTGTTCTGGCCAGGATTTCTGGGAGTTGTAGTCCCAGAAGCATACGAAGACCCAGACTTGGAGGGTAACAAGCTACGAACATCTGCCACATCACGGCAGGAGTGAGAAAGCACCAGATTCTCTGGAGCAAGTGAAGTGACCTCACCGAGGCTCAGCTACCTCCAATTCATTTTCATGCGCTTCCGATTCCCTCTGAACTTGCCCTCTTCTCTTTCCAGCCTGACGGGACGACTGGGCAGCGGGAACTGGTATGGCTCCATCAACCGCGGCGGGGAGCCAGAATGGTTCGGGGGCCACCCTCCCACGGCCCCACTTCTGTTCTCGCAGGCGGCGGTCTCCGGCGGGCATCACCACAGCCTCTATTCCACCCCACAGAACTGAAGGAATCACGTAGGGAGGGTCAGCGGGGCAAGGGGGAGTGCAGGTTTGGAGCACGCAGGCGGTCACGGTAGGAGAGATTTACCTATGCAGGGTGTACGTGTGTTTGTGCGCATCGTGAAAAGGCCGGCGCAGGAATGCACAAACGGTGGTTGAGCCACCGCCCGTTTCCGAAATGCTGTCGTCCAGGAAAATGCAACTGAATTTTTTTGAGCCACGAGACACAGTTGGATTTTTGCCGGCTTCTTGGTCTACATGCTTGAAATTTACCTGCCCTTCCCCAACCGTCTGTTTGACCTCCCTCATCTCCCCAGGTATTTAACCAATAGTATACTGAGATACACTAGCACTTTAAATGAGCTTGGGGAGGTTTTGTTTTACCTGCAATGTCCTTGTTTAAATGAATTCTGATCAAAATGGGCTGGGATGGGGAAGGGGTGTCTCTCTTCTCCCCCTATTCCCCCCCCCCCACAGACACACACCCCTGAGCCAGTAGCTGCAGTGTTTTGGAGTAGCCTTTTCTGTTCGTTATATGCTAGACATGCTGCAGTTTTTGGTGCTTCCCCGTTGTGTTCCCCGCACCCCCAATCCAGTCACCCTACAAATAAAGTAAATTTTGTGTTTAGCGACACTGTGTGTGCGGCGTTTTTGTGGTTGGGGTGCAAAGTGAGGTGGGCTGCTTTGTATTTGCTGTGTGGTCTTTAAATGTCCGGCTTCCGAAGTCTTCAGTGGAAGAAGTTCCGTCCCTCCTCTTTGCTTCCTTTTTAATCCTGAGATTGAACTTTCTGCTTCCCGAGTACGACTATACAGTGGTGCCTCGCTTGATGATGTTAATTCGTTCCAGCGAAATCGCTGTAGAGCGAAATCATCGTCAAGCGAAATAAAAAACCCATTGAAAACCGTTCAATGCGTTCCAATGGGAGAAATACTTGCTTGTCCAGCGAAGATCCTCCATACGGCAGCCATTTTCTGGTGCCTGTAATGTGAGGAATCCGTCCCTAAAACAGTGGGGAACCATTTTCTATAGCCGGCGGCCATTTTGAAACCCGACGATCAGCTGTTTGATGATCGTCGTAAAGCGAAAAATCGGTCCCCTAAGCAGGGAACCGATCAACATTAAGTGAAATTCCCCCATCTAAACATTGTTTTGCGATTGCATTTTCCCATTTTATCCGTACAACGTCCCTGTGAGGTGGACTAGATGGAGAAAGTACGAGCCAAGTTCTGGACAACATCTGGGAACCGCAACCGCCGTTCCAAGAAAAATAAAAATAGCTACAATTATTTGTTTGTTATATTTTTAACCCTGCTTTTCTTCTTTAAAAGAACCCAAAGCGTTCTTTACCCACATCAGTAAAAGACCATATTTAAAAGCCAAAAAAGAGTAGGTCTAGAAATATTTTTTAAAAAAAGAAACAAATGCCACACTAAAAATGATGGCTATCGTCCGCACAAGAGAGGAATGAGAAGGGATGACGAGGATGGACGTTTGAGGTCAGAATTGGCCCACGCAAGCTGCACGCTTGAAAGAACGGAGAAGGCGGCAGGCATTTTGCAAAGAAAGAAAGTGTCTTTCCGCTGATGTAGGTTCAAGCTGAGGATCATGACGGGTAGGGAATGGAGAGCGGTGGGCAAGGGATGAGGAAACCTAGGCCACCGCATGTTGGTGCACCTGGTTGGAGGAAATGCCGAAAAGCGTCTGTTGCTTATTAATTATTTTTTTTTCCAGCCTGAAAGGTCTCCAAACGCTGGAGCTGCAAGCCTTGTTAGAAAGCAGATGCAAAGAAGGTGAGAAATTGGCTGAGCCCCAGATTCAAATTATGGAGAGTAAGGGATTTTTGGAGACCTGGGGCCATCTTGGTTTGAAGCTCCACCCTCGGGGGCTAAGGGCGGGGCTTTGGAGCTCAAGGGCGGGGCTTGAAGCTGGGGGGCGGGGCTTGGTGGCACTTAGGGCCATGTGTAATTGTGGTGGCCTTCTGGTTCTGGATCCGGACTCCTTGGGTTTTGTATGCGAATTCCTGTAGCCTGGAAGGTTGGCAACCGCTCTTTCCATTTGAGCCCTGCTCTCCTACAGAAAAAGGGGAGACAGATCCTCTAAACTGGAGGTATAAGCGCAGGGAAAAAGATTCTAGAAGAGGAGCCATATTGAGAGTCAAAAGAAAAAGGTCCACCAGCCCCTTAAAGACAAGCCAGTGGATTATAGCCGAAGCTTTTGTTCCTGGAAGTTCATAGTAGAACCATTTTTCTCCTAGTTTTTAAGCTGTGTTGGAAATGCAAGCCAGACTACAATCAACGGGGAGAGAAGGTGTGAAGGCAGAGCCTTGGGGGGGGGGGGGGGGGGAGAGAGAAGATACAGGCTCTGGATTCGAATTCTGGATTCGGGGATAATTTGAATTCTTTCCCCTAGAGCTTCTGGACAGAGAGGCTCCTTCCTGGAGATCTATCGTCTTTTTAGGACTTGAGAGGGACAGGCCAACCGTCCTGTGGAAAGACCCCTTTAGGTGCCCGTGGGCTTGCTCCCCCCCCCCCGGCTGCTCCCATCGGCTGCTTCTGTGCCCCGGAAGGATCCCGGGCGGTTTCTGCACTGACACCGTATAAGCCCTGGCTGCCTTTTTTTTTAATCCTGACAATCTGTTCCTGGAGGCTGAACGCGGCAGGGCGGAGGAAGGTGACGGGAAAGGCATTTAGGAATAAACCCCGGACAGTCGGAGGCCCTTGCCGGGCGCCCTTGACCAACATGAGCTGGCCGGGCGAGGAATGGAAGGTGGGTTTGCCACCCCCGGCCTTACGGGCCATTGCCGAGGTGGAGCAGCGTTTGGAGCGGGTGCAAAAGGAGCGCCAGCAGAAACAGGTCCAGCTGGACACGCTGGAAGCCGTGATGCACAAGCAACGACAGAAGGTAAGAGGTGGGGGGAAAGAAAGGGGGCATTGTCCAGGGCCGGGGTATGTGTGTTTCATAACTCCCACCAGGCACGTCTCAGGACTTAGGGGTTCGGATTCCAAATAATAAAAACAGCTGCCCTTCCTTAGAGAAAGCGCTTGTGGAACTTCATCAGAATCGAACTTTACAACGAATCTTGTAAGGTAAGCCAGCATGATTGTAACTGGCACACACACACACACAACACAACACACACACACCCCAATACAGAAGGGGAAAAAATAAGGCTATGGACATCGTAGCTGGCTAGAGAAAAGCCATCAGCCCAATTTCTTGTGAGTTTGTAAACCAAAGAGACGGACTTTATAATGGAATGGGTTTGTAACTCAAAACGCCTGTGTGATAAATTAAAATAAACGTATAATTACAATATACAAGATCAGTCCCATTTTGTGAATGCTGCCTCCGTAATCCTTGCAAAGTAGGACGCTATTTTATTTATTTATAGCCTAGGTAAGGTTGCCAAATCTCCGGCGTGAAACGACCAGGGACTGCTGTGCTTCTCCAACCAAAGAGGCAAATCTCAGACCAAGCAATGTTGGAGGAGGAGAAAACTTGAGGTGGTAGTATTGCTTTTCTAAGAAGTGGCTTTAGGGCAGGAGTATGTAACTTTTGGCAAGGAGAAGGGCTGGTATCCTGCCCCAGGGCTTTCCTGGAGCTGAGCAGGACACCTGAAACAAAGACAGGGAGTGGAGCGCTAGCATCATGACTCAGGAGCCTTCTTGAACAACTTATGACTCTTAACAGAGTCAGAAGCCAGCGGGATGGGTAGGTGTAGGAATTGACCCTTTCCACCCTTGTCGACACCAAGGCCTTAAATGGGGTGCTATTGACCTTGTCACCCAAACGTTATAAATATCTGTAAATCCTTATATTTTCCAGCTCTACTGATGGAAAAAAAATAATTCTTAGGCTGGCTTTCGTAGCATTCTTTTAAAAAGTCCCTGACCTTTCCATCCAGATGACCATCTTAAAAAAAAGATAACCACCCCAAAGGAAGAAGGGACAGGAGGGCGGAAGTAGGAAAACAAGACCCAGTGGACCACCGATGAGGAGAGGCCCTCCCTAATTCGACCAGCTTTTTGGAAATGCCTGCTTTCCTTCTGTCTCTTTTCCTAAAAGGATGATGATGATAATTGTCTTAGAACGGCAGAGCTGGAAGGGACCCTTTGGATCATCTAGTCCAGCCCTTCTCGAGGAGGCCCAGGGGTTGAATTCGAACTCCCAACCTCTGGCTCTGCAGCCAGAGACTTAAACCGCTGAACTGTACAAGATGGGCGGACTCATTCTAGCGTTTCCTTTTTAATTACTCTGGCAAGTTGTGACGAAGAAGTAACCTATATCTGGGAGTGAGGTGAAATATCACAAGGCTGTGTTTGTAGACAACACAGCCTCGATTCTAATAAAATATAGTGGCCCGGATCCTGTTGATTTACATTTATGTAAGGGAAATTGCATACGTCTTATTGCCAGATTGTGGGGTGTGCCCAGGAACTTTACCAGCATCTTATTATGGAGCCGGAATTTGCCATTAAAGCTAACAGACTGGCAACAGGATTCTGGCAGCCCCCTTCACCTATTGTAGCTTCCAGATGTTTCATAGACAGAGCTCTTAAGTTCGGCAGGCTTACGCCAGGCCTTCCAGGTAGGCCATCTTTACGGTGGGCGCCCTGGAGCGGAGAGAGAAAGGGCGGGAGATTTGCAATCCAGATCGAAGCCCTGTCAGCCAAACATGTGGCATTTTAAGGATCTCTCGGTCCCTATTCCAAAGCAAACTTCTTGGCCTCCGGATAATAAGGAAAAATCTGGAAACCTACCTTGTGTTGTGCTTTTATTTCCTCCCCCCCCCAAAAAAAAGGAGAAATGGAATTGTATAAGAATTCAGAATCATTATTTATTTATTTTATTTACAATATTTTTTAGCCACACCATTACCAGTGGCTTCTGGGCGGCGTACAACATTAAAACTTAAAAACATTAAAACCATTTTAAAAGACAATATAAAATATCATATATTAAAACAATTCATAAAACATTAAATATTAAGAATCATGCAGGATTAGCTGTATTTGCATCATTTGTTCGTGTGGACGGCTGGACTACAGAGTTTACCTCCCCCCCCGTACCTTGCAGCATGAAGAAGAGAAAGCGTCCTGGGCCCTGCTCTCTCAGGAGAACCGGAGCTTGGCGGAGGCTTGCGAGCAGGCGGATCGGGCTCGCCAGCGCCTTGCCCAGGAGTTGCAAGCCAAAGACGGCCAGCTGAGCTGCCTGGAGGCCCAGCTCGCTCAAGCCACGCGCCGCCAGGCCGAACTGGAGGAAGAACTGCGCCGGTAAGTGCTGTGTACAGATTTTGAGGTTTTTTTGGGGGACTACAAGTCCCAGAATCCCCCAGGCAGTTCATGGGGGATGATGGGACTTTTTGTTCAAAGCGCCACCAAGCAACGCCTCTCCGTGGCCGGTGCCAGGAATGGGATTTGCGGCTGGAGGACAGAAAAGAAGGATGTGGGTTCAATTCACCCGTTCGACGGAAGGCGGGTTTCAGGAGCGGTCGTGGGGCTCCTCGCGCGAGGAATGACTTCACGAAAAGAATAAGCAACGTCGGAAGCCTTTAAGGCTCCCCAGAAAGGCGCGGAGTCACGGCTCGGCGTAATTGCAGAAGTCAGAAGGAGCGAGTCGAATTTCCAGGGGTCAAGAGAGGAGTCTTTGTTACCCACCTATTCATTTATTCCTTTTGGTGGTTGATATTAGGGAACAAAAGATATGATGTTTTAAAAAGTGTGTGGGTGCGCATGTGCACTAACAAGTCGATTCTGACTTTCGGCAACCCTTTCCAGGGTTTTCCAGGTAGAGAAAAGTCAGAAGTGCTTTAACCTTCCCTTCCTCTAGGGGGAGTCCTGGGGCTT